CTGGTTCACACTGACAATCCACAGAGGCCTAGTTAGTTCTCCTATAGTCTGATTCACTGACAGCCATTTGCTTTGATTTTTTTATTGTTTGCTTTGATCTCTGTTGCAACCAACATGCACATGCATGCAACACACTCTCATTAGCAAACCCCTATCAACAAAGCATCAATGGATTACATCATTACTATAGTGCTAACCTTGAATCTGCTCTAATCTTTGAATGATCACATCATTCAGAAAATTCAATTTTTAATCAACAAATTGCTTGATTGTGATTAACTGTTCCTAGCCTCAGTCTGTGATTGGGCAACAGAACTATTGTGTCTTCCTTTGCATTGTCTCCAGTTCTGTAGAGCTTCCAGATCTTTTCTGTTCAGTAGATTTCTACTGAATTGTACAGACATTATACACTTATTGTTATGATTGGGATCCAAAATGTTCCCTCAAAGCCTCATTATGTTGAATTCTTGGTTGGGCTTTTAGAGAACTGATTGGATTGTGAAGGCTCTAACTTCAAGTAGATTAATCCCTTGATGAGTTCATAGCTCTTTGGGCTTATTGACAGGTGAAGCCTAACTGGATGATGTGGGCCACTGTAGGCACAGCTTCAAAGAGTGTGTCTTGTCCCTGTCCCCTTCCTCTTTGTTTTTTCCCTTGTGCTCTGCTTCCTGACTTCATGAGGTGAGCAGCTCTCCTTATCATGCCTCTGCCATGTATTTCTGCCTTGGAGCTAGCTGACTATGGACTGAAACCTCTGAAACTAGGGGCCAAAATAAACCTTTCTTCCTTTAAGTTGTGTGTGTGCATGTCAGGTGTTTGTTCCAGCAACAGAAAGCTGATTAACACATATGTATTCAGATGGTTTTAGGAGATATAGACACAAAGCAACTTCCATCTTCCAGATGCTCGCAATGTGGCAAGTTGCTTTCATAATGTTCTCCCTAACTCCTTCTATTCTTTTTCCATTTGTTCCTTTGAGTCCCAGATTTCTGTTTCCCCTCCACCATCTAGGTCCCAGTAATGCTTGTAAGAGGCTTTTCTGGAGGTGTCTGGGACTCTTCTTTTCTATCACAGCCTTCTGGATGTATATTCACCAAGGTACATGGTATTATGTCTTAGTCTATATGCCTGGTGCTATGAGCCTAATCTTGTTTAGTCCTCACAACCCTATGAAGTAGGTGCAGAGGAGGAAACTAAAGCTAAAAGAGCCAACTAGCTCATAAACAATAGCAGAAGAGCTCTGGCCTGATCTTGGCAGTCTGACTTCAGAATCTCTATATTGTCCTAAAAGTTAAGTAAAATTTGGTGCTCATGATTTATAATCATCAAGCATGTGGGATGTAAACAAATATGTGATTTTGCTTATGATTATCTGAAGATATTGCTCCTGTTTCCATATATCCATGATTCATGACATTAGGTCTGATGAATTACCTTCCCCTCAAGGTATATTAGACTACTAGCCTGACTGGTGCCCATAGTTCCCAGGAGGACCATGAACTTGTTAATGACATAGGGCCCTGTAGCAAAGCTTAAAAAGTAGGTTCTAGCATGGGGCAGAGCCCCAAATTCTGAGCAAAAGCTTTAATGGAGAAATAGCCTCCACATGTACATGAAGAGGATTTTCTTTGCTTTATTTCTGGTATGAGAATCAACAGCTGCTTGCTGTATACCAAGTACGAGGAAATCAGTGAGAGGAATATTTCATGGATGGAGACATCAGTATTAGCTGTGTGGTTAATCTGTAGCACCTGCCACCTGTTACTCTCCATGAAGCTTTGAATCCTGTAAATACAAATGGATTTTTCAATCCATTTTGCATTTAAAATTGCCAGATCTGGAGAAAATTGGTGGTTACCATGGTAGCCAGCCTCATAGAAGAGAAATTGTTAATGTATTATTTTCTTTCCTTGGGTTTCAATTAATAACTCATGGGGAGCTTCTATAGACTTTGAATATTCTGAGATCCACAGGCTAAGAACTGAGCACATAATTTCTCTCTTAACTATGAAATGTTAAGGCCAAGGATTGGACTGGTCATGCAGGGTCCTGGAGGATACCTGGGATTCTACAGGTTTCTGCTGTAAATGGTGTAAGGGGTAACCAGAGCTGGCAAAAACAAAAGAAAACATCATCAACAACAAAAAACACCCTGAAGGAATATAAAACCTGCCATGTATTCAAGAGCACTTATGCATAATAAAAAAGGATAGGTCAGGTGCTGTAAGAAGCAGTGGCTTATCTTTCTGATAAAAAGCCCATTACTGAAGCAAGATATTTCATGTGCTTTTCATTCCTCTGTTCTTTCTTTGCTGCTTTTTGGTAGTAAGTGAATATTTTCTAATGTGCCATCTAATTCCTTTATTAATTTTTTAAAGCTACATTGAATTTTTTAAAAACTTTAAACTGGTCATGATGGTGTACACCTGAAATCCCAGGTATTTGGGAGGCTGAGGTAGAAATCAGGAGTTCAAAGACAGACTGCACTACATAATGAGTTTGAGACCATCCTGGACTATACAAAAAGACCTTGTCTAAAAAATAAAATTTAAAAAAGGAACTGTGGATGTTGCTCAGCACTTCTGGCGTTCAATCCCTGTTACAGTGGACCGTTGACTTACAAACTCAGTTCATTCATGAGGGGTGGTTATGATTCAAGTCGGTCAATTGAAGCCTCAGGCTCCTCTACACAGCCTTCAAAGTCTCTCTCCTATATAATTTTAGGCCACACTTTCTTCCAGGCAGATCTCAGTGTCCTTAGAGAGACATTGGCCCAAGATTTCTCAATTAACCCCACATAGGAAAGAATGTTGTAATGTTCCTTCCAGAACTCTTTAAGGTTAAATCTGTATCTGAGACCATCTGAAAGCACAAGTGGCTGGCATTCAGGTCATAACTCAAGATTTTGGCAGCAAGTTAAAACTAAAATTCTGGTCATAACCCAAGTTGTTTGTATGTCAGGCTGGTCGTAACTGGAGGGACCACTGTACCTGAAATAACTTAGTGGTTACTCTAGGCATTACAACATGTATCTTAAATTATTAGGATGCACTTTAGATTTATACTAACAATTCCAGTAAACATAAAAACTTCTTTTGTTTTTACAGCAGAACTCCTTTCCTCCCCTTTCCTTTGTGTTATCCTGAAGCAAAGAATTTAACATTACCCAAAGAGAGGTCTGGCCTTTGTCCTTGATTTTTAGGAGGTAATGACTAAACCCTTGGAATGCCACACTTGAGATAATTTTTTGGTAAGGACAAGGGTTGGCCATGTTAAAAAAGTCTAACAATGTGATTTAGGGTTGGAGCTTCAGGTCATGCTGTACCACCTCCTGAGATCCTGGAAACTGAGATGAGCTAGATGGGCAATCAATGACATCTGTATAGTCTCAGTAAGGACTCTGAACACCAATTTTGATTTTTCTTGGTTGATGATATTTTATGTGTTAGAACTTTTCCTGGACTCTACCCTATGCATTTCTATTCTTGGCCAATTTAAATCTGTATCTTGGGCTGAAGGTGTAGCTCAGTGGTAGTATGTTTGCCTAGCATATATGAGGCTATGGTTTCAAGCCTCAGCACTACAGGTGAAAAACCTGTATACTTTCCTTGTAATTTACTGTGATTACAATAGCTTTGGAGAGTTCTATGAGTTCTTGTAGTGAATTTTAAATCTGAGAGTGGTTTTGGGAAAAGCTCAAATTTGCAATTGATGTCAGAAGTGAAGATGGTCTTCTGAAGACTGCTCTCTCTAATTGTACAGTTGGCTAACTTCTATTGTTCCTATTTTCATATATAACATGTTAATATATATTACAATCCCAGTACTTCAGTATTATAAGTTATTGCTTTATGTATCATATCTTTTAACAAAGGTCTGAGAAGAAAGGAACATATATATAATTTTGAATTGGCCTATTTATTTGCCATTTCTGATACTTTTCATTTCTTCCTATGGCTTTGAGTTAACCATCTGGTATTATTTCCTTGCTCCTATAGAAGCTTATATCCTTCCCCATACTTTGTCCTTTAGTTGTCCCATATATCACCTCTCTGCATCTTGTAAACCCAATAATGTTATTTAATTATTGTTTTATGCAATTATTTTTCAAATATGTCAAAAAAATAAAGGAGAAATTGTATAATTATACTTTAAAAATAATTGTAACATAATTTTCTTTACCCATGCTCTTTGTTTCTTTTTAAATTGAATCAATCATTTACTGTTTTCTGTCATTTCCTTTTGGCTTGAAGAACTTCCTATAGAATTTCTTATGGGGCAGGTTTATCAGCAAGCAACCAGTTCTCTCAGTATCTATTTATCTTGTTGCCCCCTCTTCTTCCCCTCCCTCTTCATTTTGAGAGAGGAAAGGACTGGGGATTGAACCCAAGGCCTTCACCAAGAGCTACATCCCCAGCCTGCAAAAGTCTTTTGTTTTTTTTAAATTTTGAGACAAGGTCTTGCTAATTTGCTAAGTTGCACAGGCTGAGCTCAAACCTGTGATCCTTCTCTGACTCAGCTTAGTAGGTGCTGGGAGTACAGCTGTGCACCACCACACCTGGCTTCATTTTTATTTCTGAAAAATAGTTTTGTTGCATATAGGATTCTTTATCATCACATTTTTTTCTCTCTGCCCTTTGAATGTGTTATTCCCCTGTTTCTTGGCCCCATTGTATGATGAAAAGTCAGTTATTAGTCCTGTTATGATTTCCTTATACCTCATGAATCATTTTCCTCTTGCTGCCTTCAAGATTTTTTTCTTATCTTTTGCTTTTCTGACTGATGTATCTTTGTATAGATTTTTTGTTCTTTTCTTTTTTTTTTCCTTTTCCTTCCTTAGAATTTTATTTGTAAAATTTAATCTTTGCCAATAAAAGTAGAAGAGCAACAAACAGGTGGTGGGGTTGCCTAGTGGGTGGGATCTGCATGCCATGGGTGATCTGAAGTTCTGCTGTTCGGCAGGAGCACTGTGGGAGTCCAGCATCCACAGCATGGTGAACTCATCTTTCTTCTCTTAAAGGTCTCAAATAGCTTAGATGGGGGGCTGAACGTGATGATCCTTTTTTGGTACCCAACCATTTTTCTTGATCTTGCTCTCTGGTTCCATAAATTCCAGACTGTTCAATGGATTTGTAATAAACTTCTAAGATAAAAGGAAATTTCTTACTCATTGTTTGCCTGAAATCTTGGCTTGTGTTCATCTTATTAAACAAAAAATATGCTCCAAAAGTGCCCATAAGTTCAGCTACTAAAATTCCTTTAAAGATCTTCTTTGCCAGTGTTTCTAAAGAGTAAGCCATCCTGGGGCATACACCTTTTTTTTTTTTAATCAAATAGTCATTTATTAAACAGATATGATTTAGAACAAGATTCAATGTAATATAAATCCTTAGGAACAATTTAATATCTTGGTCATGATATTTGAATATCTTAAAAAGAATCACTGATTAAACTGAGCATCTTATTTTTCTTTCACAATCCACACCTCTTAGGCATGTATCAAGTTTCCCACAGCATTTCAGAGCATAGCATCTTAGTGTCAGAGCCCTTCACGACTTACTCAACTAACCATTTCAAGGAGAGGGCAGAGCTCTTGGCAGAGCTGTCCTAGCACTCCGTGTCCACACAGAGCAGTCTATGGAAGCAGAAGCCTGCGAAGCCCCAGCTGTCCCTGTCCCAGGGAAGCCAGTGAGGCCTGTGGTGAAGACCACAGGGCAGGGAGGACTGAGTTTACTGAGTTTTTTTGTTGTTTCATCATTGAAAATTAGATGTTTTTCATAAGTTTGGGAATCATTCAGACATTATTCATGTTATTTTTGTCTGCCCCTTTCTGTCTCTCCTTTCTTTATGCCACTCCCATTATTCATATGTTAGTGTGCTTTCTCCTTTCAGCTTAACTCTACTGTTGCGTTCCTCTCATAGCATTTTCATTTTAGTTATTGTACTTTTCAGTGCCAGAGTTTCCCTTTGACTCTTTTAAAATGTGTAAATACTACATCGTTTCTCTGGTGTGAGAAACTGAAAGTGTATATGAGGACCAAAATGTGTAATAGATATTGTTAAACAGGAAGAAAATGTTCCAATGGGTAGGGGAACTAGAGAGGAGGGTGCAGGAAAGGAAGGAAGGGAAAGGAAAAAAAAATAAAAAAAGAAGGAAAAAATGGAAACAAAACTTTTGTAAATAAGAAGGTGGAAAGGAGGGTAGGGGAATGAGAAAGACAAGAATAAGAATCAAGGGCTACCCACTTGGGATCACTCCTGCCCCTCAGGAGCTTTCCTATCAATAAAAATCTTCCTACTTTTAACCTCCATCATTCTTAGGATTCATTCTTTGATTTCTAGAGAACAAGAACTTAGCGTATCATACAGTTAACAGGTTGGGAGATATAACATTTCATATTTCATATTTCCCATGACATTATTGGAGGTCCTACCAAGATAATAATTAATAGGAGGTAAGAATTTACTTTTATTGATTGTTAAATTATATTAAGTAACCAAAATTGTCATTCTTGTTTGTCACTGCTTGTGCCTCTTGTAAATGCTTTGTACTTTGAGTTCTTAAACATTGTCATTTTGTTAAAATGATGATGTTTCTTTAAAAGGATATTTTACTTTTGTAGACAAGGTTTTATGTTCCTGTTCTATATTGATTGCTTGATTGACTTGTTAGGCAATGCTGAGGAAAAATAATGTTAGATCGTCATCTAATGGCCTTTACCAATAATTACTAGTAAATTAGAAAATGTAGTAAAAATAAGCCTTCTCTGTAAAATCTAGTTTATACTTGAAAAATATACATGCCTATTGATAAAATGAGGTACCCCAGCTGTCAATTAATAAGGCTCTAGACCAGCAGCCACTCTTAAGGCTTAGGGGACAGGTTTCACTGAGCAGTCTGGCTAAATTCTTCTCTATACTCTAGAGAGAATGTTGAGCCAGCTCTTTCTCAGTTTCCTTTCTGGTCTGATCTTCCACTGGTGGGGAGGCAGTCTTAGCTCTTGAGATCCCCCACTCTCGCCTTTCCAGGCTGAGAGTGATGACTCAGGGGCAGGTTGTCTCAATAACTCACTGAGAACATGAGAAGAAAAGACCTCCTTTCCTGGTCTCATTTCCAATTTCTCCTGCCAATCTTATACTCTCCTTTATAGAGGCATGTAAAGTCAGAAAGGATCTCTGAAGTACTCAATGTCTTTCTCTTAAGAACCTTTAAGTTAAGTCCTTAGAAAATGAGTGCTCTTGCCAATGCTGAAGATAGGAAAGTCATTTTAGATCAGGAAGCATACCAGGTCTCTGGGTTAGATGACACATTGAGGTTTTGTCTTTCCAGGAGAACACATGAACACGATGTCCCCGCTTAGTGCTTTGAGCAACAGTCTTCCTTGGGAAACTGCATCTTGAGACCCCGTGGAAAGAACCAACTTCTGGGTGAAACCAGAAGGAGCTATTTCCGTAAGCACAAAACTTAAGGGACCAAAACACATTTAGTTTAAGGGAGAATCTTCTCTCTCTCTTCATAGGTCTGGTTCTTATCATTTATGTATGAGAAAATACTCTGGCTAATAAATTGTAGACTAAATGATGGCAAAACAGGCAGCTAGATTCCTTTCAGGAGACAGATCTCTGATTGCATGGAACTAGTGAAAACTGGAGTGACAACTGAGAGGTCATGGCCAGGGCTACTCTCTGGCAGATGCTTGAAGGTCCCCCAGTGGAAACCAGCTCCCAACAGCCTGAATGGATAATTAGTAGAAAAATCTCTGCATAACTATTGCCCCCTAACTAGACTCCTCAGTGAGGTGAAAGGTAACCCTTTCAGTGATCATCAGATATCCTCTGTCTCAGAGTGACCTGAAATTATGCTGGTAGGGCCCTTTCTCAAGCCTCCATTAAGAGTTGAGCTAAAGGACGAGACTGTTCTCTCTCTCTGCTAGTAAGACAGACACAAATAGAAAACAGTAACTCAGCAGAGGTTGTTTGACAAATCTTTAATAGGCTAGAAACGCTGAAGCTCTTGAGAATTGACTTTAGAACTCTTTGGCTGCTTTACTACTAGGCCACACCTCTCTAGGAGGCCTTACATGGAACAGCTAACAGATAAATGGTTTGCATTTGTGCTTTGGTAACTAGGAATAAAAGGGATCTCAACCAGCTTTTCTTTTCTTCTATGTGCTTGTGGAGACCTGATGAATGTGCCTTGTGAACTTTGAACAATGTGAAGTCTTTGTCATGCTGCTGAAGGTTACCTAGGTGATCAGATAGTAAAGCCATCTTGGTGGTTTTCTTTCTGGGTGAAGATCCCCTGAGGCTTTGGTCTGTTTCTGTCTCTAAAAGTGATCTGTTTTGCAGGAAAAAGGCATAGCTCTTTAATCTACCCACCTCATTCTTTCTCAAAAATTTAGAAATAGTGACTTAGATACTTTTGATTATTGGTTTGGCTAACCAATGTTTCCTTCAAAAAGGCATGATTTTACAACTAAAATCAATTGTTTCTTGGGCTTTTGAAATTCACACAGGAGTAAAAAACACAAGTTCCCTGGAGAAGGTAAGATTTTGCACTGATAAAGAGTGGCTACTTCAGTCCAATTTACCTTCTGGGCTCTCTCCAGACAGAAGCCACCTGCCATGGAGCTGTGATTCTAGAGGACAATCTAGGGGCATAAGGAATCAATCAGAATCATAGGGACGCCTTGTTTCTGTTTTTTTTTTTTTTGGTACCGGGGATCGAACTCGGGTCCTTGCGCTTGCAAGGCAGGCGGTGGAAACACTGAGCTAAATCCCTGGCCCTCTGTTTGTTTTTTCCAGAGTGTGGGAATGTCAAGTCAAAATCTCTTACTCCTTTGGAATATATTCTTATTTCGACTTGGGGGGCGGTGCTGTTGGCGCCTGCACAGATTACCTCCTCTGAGCTGGGAGAGGTGGGACAGGGGCTGGGAGCAGCGGTAGGGATGGTGGCCCAAAAGCCCTTTCCTCTGGGCTGGGAGCAGCGGGAGGGATGGTGGCCAGGAAGCCCCTTCCTCTGGAGCAGGAGCAGTGGGATGGCGGCTCAGAAGCCCCTACCTCTGGGCCGGGAGTGGTGGGACTCAGTACCGTGGTCTGGTGGTCCAGTGTCCTCTGCGTCTTTGTAGTGTGGAACCAGGTGGCTGCCTGTCTGCAGCGGGCTGATTCGGCCTGGAATATATTCTTAAACACTGGCAGAAGTTCGATCCACACATACTGAGGAAGAACAGCTTAACATTCTTCTGCACCCATCCATGGCCGGCCTATCCTCTAGAGCCAGGATGGAATGCAGAAGGAAGTATTAATTATGATGCCATTTCACAACAAGAATTATACTGTAAAAAAGAAAGAAGATGGTCAGAATTGCCTTATGTCGAGATCTTTTTTTGCATTACGAGAAAATCCTGATTTGTGTTCAAAGTGTAAATATAAGCTACAGGAAGACCAGACTCCTCCAGTCCTTATCACTAAACCTGAGGTTTTCTGCCCTACCTTTTGGACCCTGAGAACAAAGTTTCTGAGGCAATCCCAGTGAAAGTGCCACCTACCACTCAACTTGAAGTTTTTTCCACTTGCCCTTTAGAGCCCAAGATCCCTCCCCCTTATCCTTTAGAATTGAAGGGTGAAATTCCCTAGCCAACTGTAATTAAAACCTCTACAGAACTATATCCACCTATAGCCAATTTTGTTTAAACCCCTCAAAGATAATATCTCTTCCAGGAAGTAAATGGCAAATATGAGACTACCTATGTTCATGTGTCTTTTTCTCTCAGTGATCTAAGATGGGTCAAATGTGATCTAAAAGTTTTTAGATGATCCTGATATGTACATTGAGGTGTTTGAAGAACTTACTCAGACCTATGGCCTAGATTAGAAAGATGTAATGCTGCTCTTAAACATTGAGAGACAAGTAGTATTACAAGCTGCTACTACATATAGAGACAAATATTATGTTAATTTTGGAAGCTCAAAAGACAGGCAGCTGAGGGAAAAACTGGTTCCTACTGGAACACAAGCAGTTTCTATACAAGCCCCTACTGGCCTATCAACCAGATAGATTAAAATAGAAGACATTTTCAGGCATGTATTCTGGAAGATCTGAGAAAGATGAGAGCTAAGCCCTTCAATTATTTTAAATTGTCAACTATATATCAGGAAAAAGATGAGGACATCCCTAGATCCTGATTTCATAAAAGAAAATACTATAGGTATTTCCAAAGTCACAGTCTTATAATATGTATGTAGTATAATGTTATGTGTCTCCTCAGAAGAGCTTTCTAGCGAAGACTTCAGCTCTGCT